TCAATGGGCTTAATTTCTCTAACTAGTGTGAACAAGTCTAGTTCAACTTAGGTGTTTTGGACTTGGACTTGGCACTTCAAGTTGAGAAACCTGCTGATCTTACTGATGAGAGCAGTGCTGATGAAAGATCTTTCCATAAATCTTGGGAAAGGTCAAATAGATTAAGCCTTATGTTTATGCGGATGACCTTGGCAAAGAATATCAAGTCTACTATCCCTAAAACTAAGATTGCTAAGGAATATATGAAGTTTGTAGAAGAACATTCTCAAACAGCTGACAAGTCACTTGTTGGCACACTAATGGGTACCTTAACCACCATGAAATATGATGGTTCTCATATCATGCATGAGCATGTTACTGAAATGAGTAACATTGCAGCAAGACTTAAGACTCTTGGGATGACTGTGGATGAGAACTTCATAGTATAGTTTATCATTAACTCCTTGCCTCCTGAGTATGGTCCATTCCATATGAACTATAACACCTTAAAGAATAAATAGAATGTGAATGAATTACACAGTATGCTTGTGCAAGAGGAGATAAGGCTTAAGAATCAAGGAACTCATTTTGTTCATCTTGTAAATTATCAAGGAGCTGGAAAGAAAAATAAGAAAATATATGGAAAGGGCATTAAGTAAAGATCACTAAAGATAAATGAGTCTTCTACCCAAATCCACAATAAGGAACACAAGAAAGATGCGTGTCATTTCTGTCACAAACCTGGGAACCATAAAAAGGACTGCCTGAAACGTAAGGCGTGGTTCGAAAGTAAAGGTAAGATTATTTCTTATGTATGTTTCAAATCTAATTTGGCAGAAGTTCCTTATAATACTTAGTGGATTGATTCCGGATGTACCACTCGTGTTACTAATACGATGCAGGAATTCCTTTCAATCCAGACCATTAATCCAAATGAAAAGTTTGTTCTCATGGGAAATCGAGTCAAAGCTCCAGTTGAAGCTATTGGAACTTATCGTTTGATTTTAGATACTGGACATCATTTAGATTTATTTCAGACTCTTTATGTACCTTCTATTTCTCATAATTTAGTTTCCTTATCAAAACTTGATTCTGTTGGATATTTCTTTGATGGTGGAAATGGATGTTTAAATTTGTTTAAACAAAATCATTTTATCGGTTCCGCTATTCTTTGTGACGGCTTATATAAATTAAAGATTGATAACCTCTTTGTTGAGACTCTTTTGACCTTACATCATAATGTTGGTACTAAACGTGGTATACTAAATGGAAGGTCTGCTAACTTGTGGCATAAACGTTTGGACCACATATCCAAGGAATGGACAAAAAGATTAGTAAAGAATGAAATCCTTCCCGACTTGAATTTTAGTGATCTTGAAACTTGTGTGGATTGTATTAAGGGTAAACAAACCAAACACATAAAGAAAGGAGCCACAAGAAGCACATAGCTTCTTGAGATAATACACGCCGATATATGTGGGCCTTTTGATGTTTCATCCTTTGGTGGAGAAAAGTATTTTATCACCTTTATCGATGATTTTTCACATTATGGTTATGTTTATCAACTACATGAAAAGTCTCAAGTTGAAAATGCTTTAGAGATCTTTGTCAATAAAGTTGAACGGCAATTAGACAGAAAGGTAAAAATTATAAGATCTGATAGAGGTGGTGAATATTACGGAAAGTATGATGAAACTAGACAACACCCTGGTCCATTTGCTAAATTTCTTGAAAGACATGGCATATGTTCTCAATATACTATTTCGTGCACACCACGACAAAATGGTGTGGCTGAAAAGCGTAATCATACTCTAATAGAAATGGTTAGGAGTATGTTAAGCAATTCTTCTTTACCCATATCCTTGTGGATGTTTGCATTAAAGACTACTATGTATCTGCAAAACAGGGTTCCTAGTAGGGCAGTTCCAAAGACTCCTTTTGAACTATGGAAGGGAAAGAAACCCAGTTTAAGGCACCTGCATGTTTGGGGTTGCCCGACAGAATCAAGAATTTATAATTCACATGAAAAGAAACTGGACTCAAGAACAATGAGTGGATTTTTCATTGGTTATTCATAAAAATCAAAAGGGTATACATTTTATTGTCCTAACCATAGTACTAAAATTGTTGAAACTGGAAATACTAGGTTCATTGAGAATGGTGAAATTAGAAGGAGTTTGGAACCACGAAATGTGGAAATACAAAAAGTTAGAGTTCAAATTTCTCTACCTTCAACTTCTTCTAATGTTGTTGATCCACAAACCGTTGAATGGCATGACAGTTTACCCGAACAACAAATAAATGATCAAACACATTTCTGGAGTTGCCACTGATGAACCTGAATTAAATGAACCACAAGAAATAGCATTAAGAAGGTCACAAAGACAACGTAGACCTGCTATTTCTGATGATTATTTGGTTTATCTATAAGAGTCAGAATTTGACTTGAGAATTGTTAATGATGATCCAGTTTCATTTTCACAGGCCATTGAGGGCGCTAATTCTAATAAGTTGTTAGATGCTATGCAAGATGAGTTGAAATCTATGGAACATAATGAAGTCTGAGATCTCATCGAATTACATGAATCATGTAAAAGAGTTGGGCGTAAATGGGTCTCTAAGACCAAGCGCGACTCTAATAGTAATATAGAACGATATAAAACTAGACTTGTTGTCAAAGGTTTTACTCAGAAAATTGGCATTGATTATAAGGAGACATTTTCACCAAACTCTAAGAAAGACTCACTCAGTATTATAATGGTTTTAGTAGCTCATTATGACTTAGAACTACATCAAATGGATGTGAAAATCGCCTTTCTAAATGGAAATTTAGATGAAGAAGTTTATATGGATTAGCCTGAAGGTTTTTTAGTTAAAGGGAAGGAATACATGGTGTGTAAGTTAAGGAAATCAATATACGGACTTAAGCAGGCTTCCCGTCAATGGTGTCTTAAGTTCAACATTACCATTACTTCCTTTGGATTTAAGGAAAATATCGTTGATCGATGTATATATCTAAAGGTCAGTGGGAGAAAGTTTATATTTCTGATTCTGTATGTTGATGATATCTTGTTAGCTACTAATGATCTTGGTCTATTACACGAGACTAAGAAATTTCTCTCTAAAAAATTTGAAATGAAAGATATGGGAGAGGCAACCTATGTGATTGGAATTGAAATATTTCATGATAGGTCAAAAGGATTGTTAAGGTTGTCTCAAAAAGCATACATTGATAAAGTTTTAGAGAGATTTAAGATGAAAAATTGTTCAGCGAGTGTCGTCCGAATTCAGAAAGGAGACAAATTTAGTCTCATGCAATGTCCTAAGAACGAATTGGAACGCAAACAAATGACAGTTATTCCTTATGCATCTCTTGTTGAAAGCTTAACGTATGCTCAGACTTGCACCATGCCAGACATTAGTTTTGCAGTCGGAATGCTGGGCAGGTATCAAAGTAATCCGGGACTTGATCATTGGAAAGATGCAAAGAAAGTATTGAGGTACTTGCAAGGAACAAAAGATCACACGCTCACTTATAGGAGATCTGATAACTTGGAGGTCATTGGGTATTCAGATTCGGACTTTGCAGGATGTGTGGATAGTAGAAAGTCCACATTTGGCTATTTGCTCCTCTTGGCTGGAGGGGCTATATCATGGAAAAGTGAGAAGCAGTCAATCGTTGTTGCATCCACTATGGAAGCCAAGTTTGTGGCATGCTTTGAGGCCACAGTTCAAGGAAATTGGTTGCGGAACTTTATTTCGGGACTTGGAATCGTCTACAGTATAGAGAAGTCGCTGAAACTTTATTGTGATAATTTTGCAGCAGTTTTCTTTTCAAAGAACGACAAGTACTCTAATGGTGCTAAACACATGGAATTGAAGTACTTTTCCGTTAAAGAAAAAGTTCAAAAGCAAAGGGTGTCAATTGAGCATATTAGCACCAATCTTATGATTGCAGATCCATTAACGAAAGGATTGCCACCAAAAACATTCAATGAACATGTCGAAAGGATGGGCATTATTGAAAATTATCATTGGCATCATTATGTAATTTATGATGCTTACGTATTGACACTTTGAGCTCAATTATGTATTATTTTTTACAAATATTGTTCCTGTCATAATCATTGGTACATATACATGAATGAATTATGTGATGCTGACAAGGATAGCCCTTTAAAGATATTATTGGAAACTTCTCATTACGTATCATGTTAAGTGATGACTAATATTGTAGTACATGGAAGGAGTTATGCCGAAATGATGGTGTAAAATCGCCATGACTCTTATTCGTCATTACTTAACGATGATATATTAAGTGATCAATGTACGATAGATTTTAGCTTATCATATGCGCATTATGTTATAGACCACATAATAATGTAATATTACTCGGGCCAAGTGGGAGAATGTCAGACCAATCAATGTGGCCCTACGTAATATTATTAATGAATTAATTAATTTGGTCTATATGCTAAAATCTGATTGGCCCATTTGAGAAGTGGCAATTTTATAACTGTCCACTTTGATGGAAAGTGGGTAGTTTTTGGCCTTAAAAGAAACTGCCTCTCTCTACCATTTAACGTGAATGAAAAGCCATCAATTTTGAATTCAATAACAGTAAGGAAAAGAGAGAGAACGGTTCCTTTAATCTCACTAGTTTCTCTTTTGCCGATTTAGAACATTTCAATTATCTTCATAAACCAATGTATGTTTTTTGATCAAATTACTCCTATGTGAAAATCATGGAATTCTAAGATTTTGGAGTATTAGGGTTTGATTGCTTACACCTTTAACTACCATAATGCAAATATCTGCACGGAACATGGAATCGCTGGTTGAAAGGCGAGTGGATTAATATCTTTTTGAGTGTATGTACGTTAATATACTTGGCTTATTGAACCACGAGAAGGGAAAAGGAAAAAAGACATGTAGTAAATCTTTCACTTTATTTATCTATTTATTTTTTATTATTATTTTTTGTGTTTTTTTTTTTTTTTTTTTGGTTATCAAGCAGCTGTCAAGGTGTAATTGCCTTAAATATGGAGGATGGGACGTTACACAGGTTCCGTGCTGCCTCAACAATTCTGGCCGCAGAGGTAACTATTAATTTTTGAAGCATATTTATTAGACTTGAGCCAGTCAGTCGCAATAAAAATGCTTCTTTCAATTTTTATTACCTGAAAAACTAGTTCTGTTGCTGCTTCTGCCAGGGCTATGGTAGGACGTACTTCTCTGCTACCTCTACTCATGTCTCTTGGTCTGATCTGTATAAACCTACTGCTCTTATTTTATTTATTAACAGATTCTTTCGTTTCCAATGTTTGTTTCTCCATGTTCAGGGTCTAGGGGTGAAAGTGGTATTCTTAGGAATAGTGAAGGTGAAAGATTCATGGAACGGTATGCCCCAACAGCTAAGGATCTTGCATCAAGAGATGTGATCTCGAGATCTATGACAATGGAGATCCGAGAAGGGCGTGGTGTAGGTATGGCAGCATTCACAATCTATGGTGGACCATAAAATTTGGTTTATCTGAATGTGTTAAATTTTGGTGTCCAAAAAGTCACTTCCACGTCTAGGGTGAGTTGTTTTGGGGAGAAGAGAGCAGAGAGCTTTCAAAATGTAGAAATCCTTCCTCTAGAACTAGGAGTATCGTATTCTCTTTCTTTTCAATTGAAATAATCAATACATTCAGAGTTCTTTTGGACTTGGATAGACTTTTTGATACTTCTTTCACCCTTTTTAACATGTTTTATGAAGGCTTTTATTCTTTCCTGTAATAACTAATTTTGATTTTTCATAGAAAAGAAAATAAATTTACTTCCACATAATCTTCGTCGCAGTACCTCCAGAAGATGGTGATGGTTTCCTTAAGTTTCGAATCTCTACTCGTTATAATTTCAGAATTCAGTATCTTGTTAAATCATTCTTGTCATAGTATGATTAATAAATCTTTTGAATTCTTAAGTTAGCATTTGCCTTGAGTAAGCTTAAACGTGTTCCTTTATATTGTGTAGAAGTGAACGATACATGATATTGGGTGGTTGTTTGTTCAGAATCAATGTTATATATGTATGATTGGTAGCTTAGAGAAATGAATAAACATCGATTGGAGAATATGTGGCAGCTAGTGGAGTTCATAGGATTGATTGTTACCACTTGAACATAATTTAACGGGTTATTCTTCTCTCCCGATAGGACCCTTGAAAGATCATATCTATCTTCACTTAAATCACTTACCTCCTGAGGACCTCAAGGTGAGACTTCCTGGAATATCTGAAACTGCTGCTATTTTTGCCGGTGTCGATGTTACAAAAGAGCCAATCTCTGTTTTACCTACTGTCCATTATAACATGGGTGGGATCCCCACAAATCACCATGGAGAGGTACAAATTCACGCTGAAATTTTTACACTTGATCAAATAATATAGAACTCCTCCTTAAATAATGGTTGCTATGAAGGTAGTTACCATCAAAGGTGATTATCCTGATGCAGTGACTCGTGGACTCTTAGCTGCTGGGAAAGCTGCCTGTGCATATGTTCATGGCGCTAATCGACTTGGTGCAAATTCCCTTCTTGATTCTGTTCAGGGCTTGTACAAGCTTAGAAATTCAAATGGCTCCCATCCCACCTCAAATATCCTGTTGAGTGTTGAACATACAGCGGATTATACAAAGCAATGCTGCTGTGTTTTGCACACAGGAAACATTAGAAGAATGTGTGCAATAGAGACATGCATTTTCCAGTTTGTTGTATAAGAGATGAACTAGATACTAAGGTGGATATCCTTCATTTTCTTGCCTAATTGGGCTTCATCTACACAGACAAGTTTGCAGTAACTCTGCTTTTGAAACAGGCTTACTATTTTGACTCCATGATCACTATATTTAAATTCGCTACCTCGCTGATTCTTTATTTTTTAATTTAAAGGTTGTCAGGTGATTGATAAAGCATGGGAGAGCTTCCATGATGTCAAGTTGAAGGACAGAAGCTTGATATGGTATATATGTTTAATAGGATTATTAGCGTTTAAAGTCATATACTGAAGTCCATAATTTCTCATTACTTATTTTCCCCTACTGTAGTTTATTCAACTAATGCATGTATAACCAACTCAGACTTGAGTTGGAAAACCTTTTAATTGTATCTTTATTTTTACATGAACTCAGACATGATAGAGACTATTGAGTTGGAAAACCTTTTAATCAATGCATGTATCACCATGCACCCTGCTGAAGCAAGGAAAAAAAGTAGAGGAGCCCATTTGCGTGAAGATTTTATGGCTCGTTCTAAACTCTTCAATGTTAATTTATTTTTCATTTTTCTCCTTTAGCCTGACACAACTGAATCAAATTTTGTTCTGCCTGCAGAAAAGAGATGATGAAAACTGGATGAAACACACTTTGGGGTAAGTTTTTTCCCTCAGTTTCTTGTTCGTGTATTACTAAGTGATCCAAGGACTGTGTAGGGTCAATCGAAAATTTATGGTTCTATTTTGAATCAAGTAAGTTGTGTAGGGCTGGTGAAAAACAATGCATATACGATTCTACGATAACCTATTTCTTTATCACCGTGGAACTTAGGTTTAGCCATGCATGTGGTTATTTTTATTGTGCACTAGCCAATCCCATGTCACACATACACATCTGATGTAGGTTAATGGACTGACGATTCTCAGTCATCTCATTAAGATTTGTCGACCCTTGATTTCCAACAGGATTTGATGCAGTTTGTGCTTTTAAACTTGAAAGCACACTGTAGTGTTTGCTTTTGAAGTAGAAAAACCCATTTTTCGAGCTTCATAACTTTGGGTTTTCTGTATAATTCAATGTTTTTGATACATTAGAATTTTTTCCGCAGCATGCTGATGTTAATTTGTCCATTTCACCTTTGTTTTGTAATCTTGAACTCCCTGCATAAGTTGAAGTCATATAAACTTGTGATACTGATTGCTGTTACTATTGATGAGTTGATTGTGTTGAAGGCCAGTTTGTTGATAAAGCTCCTTTTGTTATCAGCGGATATTGGGAGAATGAAAAAGTTAGGCTCGCCTACAGGCAGCCTACAGACCAGTTCACATGATGAAATCGAGACATTCCCCCAAAGACCCGAGTGCATTGATCCGTTTACTCACCAGGGAAAACTTGCTAGCTCAAGAAATTGATTTTCTAATATTGTTAGAGGTCAGAAAAAATTAATTTGAATTGCAATTTTTTTTTAATAATAGCTGCATTTATCAGTGATGATCTCATGAAAACCTGAAGTGTGGATAGATCTCAAATCAAATCTTGGCCACTTCTGTTGTCGTTGGTGAATAATTTCATCAAAAGCTTTCCATGATATTTTGTTTCTCGCTGGCACTTGTATCCATCTCATGAGCCTGTGAAGTTCTGTTTTATGTCGCGGTAGGGAAAATGGAATGTATGTACATGTTGCAATATATAAAACACACTTTGGTTGCTTGTTGAGAATATGAGTATTAAGGGAAAGTTTTGTAATACATTAATTTAAAAAAAAAAAATAGAGAAAAATCAGATGTGCCAAAAAAAAAATTAAAAAGAAAAAGAAAACGGCAGGCTATGCTATGCCCAAAACAAATCCATTCTCATTGTATGTATGTGTATATATATAATCCAAACTCATTTCATATAAAAACCCATTTCATATAAAAACACACGCAGACAGAAACGGAAACAGGAAGAAAGAGAGAAAAAGAGAAAGGGAAAAGATAAAAGATAAAAGATGAAAGGGGGGGAAAAAGAAGAAGAGGAAGAAAAAAAAATAGAAAATTTTTGTCAACGTGTTAGAAAAAAGTTCTTCTACTATTAGGCTTGATTTCTTCAAAGCTAAAGATAAGTAAAAAGTTACTTATTGAAATGTTATGTATAATTTTATAGTTGTTTGATTGTTAGATTAAATTCTGTTTTATTGAAATGATTGAGTATAATAAACTAGGAAATTGAGTAAAATAAAAGAAAAATTAGTTTTAGTGATTAAGAGGCCTTGAAAATAGCTTAAACGTGAAATAATTAAGGTTGGGTATTGCCTATTTAATTATTGAAATTACTTAAAATAGTTAATTGTTGATTTAAAAATTATATCATGTTTCAGGCGGCAATACGGATATCGTGACAATTTACCAACATGGTTGATTTTGGCGTAAATAGTTCTTTGAGTGGAAAAATATAAATATTTATAAATTAAGTATATTGTTAAAGTATGTGCAATTATATGGAATTATGTGTTCAACTACATGATTATTATGGAAATCTCTTTTATTATGATACATGTGGAAATTCAAAGATTATTTGTGGTACATTTATGACTTGGTATGTGAAACATATGTAATATTGAGATCGGCCAGAAAGGTACCCATGATTATATATTTCTTCTAGTTCATTGAGGGGTTTTGTCCGTGTTCTATACTACAATGAGTGGTCTTGGACTGTGGATGAAGGGGTCTCGACCGTATACATATAGTTCACTGAAGGGTCTTGGCCGTGTTCAAGAATTGATTATGAGAGGTCTTTGAGATTGTCTTTCGTTCACGGAGGGGGCCAAAGGCCCATGCGAAAGTTCTTAGCCTGAGGGGCGGATTACAGATTTTAGTCAGAGGGTACATTTTTGGTGGATTTTTCAGTACATTTGATGTAATGAGATTATAGCATGATTACCAGCTTATGTCCATATCATAACTTGAGATGATATTTGACCACGTTTTGTAAATGTTTCACGTTTTGGCTATAATTATATGATATTATCTTGCGAGTTTTTCAATGATATGAACTTGACTTTCGATAAAAATGTAAAATTCAAAAGGTGTAATTATTTTCGAACTTCTTCACTCACTGAACTATCAACTCATATATTTTTTCATAATTTTTCCTACAGGTAGTAATTGATTCATTTCGGCTGGAAGGGCCTAATGATTTCGGAATGAGAGCCACACGACATGTTGAGTGTTATAGTACATATTGATGAAGCACGAAGTAAATAATTTGAGTATATCGCATTATATTTTACATAAGCATTTGATTTTAACGCATTTTTTTTTGAAGTAACTCATAGTCAACCTTAGTGATAGATTTAACATCTAGTTAGCATCTATCATCGGCGCACGTCACGTTTCGGGTCCAATAGGGTGATTCGGGACGAGTCGTGTAAAAGTAGTATCAAAGCATGATTATAAAATTTTGAAAGTCCTTGTAGTTCATGCATTGACATATCATGCATATTCAGTGCGTATGGTCGCATGTTGTGGTGGTAGAAATCATAAGCTCTTTAGCTTGAGTGTATAAAACCAAAAATAATAGAAAAATATTTTTTTAACAAATTTAGAAATAACTAGTATGTAAGTATGGTAGTTGCAATGATCTGGTTGTTGGAAATGTCACTAGTTGTTGAGTTGGAACTATGTGTGTATGTAACATATTAAGATTTGAACAGATTGTGATGATTTTGCATGGCATTCGAAGTTACAGATGTTACAACCACTTAATTATCAATTTATTTGTAGAAGTACATGATTTTTTTTTATGAGTAGCTATAGCTTGCATGATGAATACAAGAAATGATATGATGTGTGATTGGTGACAATCAGTGGGGAATTTTAATTATTCTGGAAGCCAAATGGTCATTAGAGTTATCAAATTTTTGTGGTGATTTGTGGCCACTTTTATGGGATGATAATACAAATCATGATGGTGTATATTTATGCTATATGATAAGAAATTGTGAAAGAAAAAATGATGATTTGTTGATTGATAGATAGCAATGTGTTATTGTATATTTTAGGCGTTGATGGGTTAACACTTAGGTGATTGCAATTATTTCAATTATTTAAGAGTTGTTTAATTACACAGATTATAGGTAAAGTAGGGATAGATTAAAAGTGATCGCTTATTGTGGGTAATTTGTTGCTTAAGAAATAGAATTAAATGGATATATGCATTTAGGTATGTTATGTGACTAATAAAAAAAATTAAAAAAAAAAGTTAGAGAATGGTAGAACTGAAATTTATTGAGATTGGGAAATTAACATGGAATGTATTGATGTGTGAAATGTTCACATGATAAATATGAAGGTTATTATTTTGTGATGTTAAGGAAAATTGATATAGTTAAATTTTTTAGGTTATACGATACGATGATAAATGACAAGGTTATAAAAGCATAACATGATATGGTGAATAGCATAAATGAATGGAATGGTTGTCCTATGGCAAAATAATGTGATGATTTATTTGGGTTGTTAAGTTAATTAATTTTTTTAAGGCTATTTGTTGGATTATTGTGTTATATTCCACACAATTTGGAAGTATTGAGTTAAATTTTGGAGTTAAGATGAGTTAATTGAAATTTTACTAGTGTAATTTTTGGGCAATTTTCAATTGTATGGATCGTGAGCAAAGAATTCCATTTTTATCAAAATATATTTGTTAAGGAATTAAGGATATGTTTAAAGTTTAAGATGATCATCAAATATAGATTTTACTCATTGTGAAATAGTATTTTTGGGTTACATTATCTTAATTAAAGGTCTTTATCTGATATACAAGAAGGATTATGCATTGACGATAGATCAACGATTTATTTATGGAATAAGAGTATAGATTTTCATGAATTAAATGTTATTATTGTCCCTTCATAGAAAGAAAGAAACAAAATTTGTATGTATATAGAAATGTCAAAATTTTTGCTATAAGGAAATATTGAGAAAATATTTGCTCTTATATCTAAAGTTGAAAAGCGATTGATTCACGATAATGATTTATGTTATGGTTTAGAAAATGTTCTCAAAGTGGAATGATAAAATATGGATTACGTCGTAGATTGATAAAGGGATATGATTAAATCATGATATATTGTTGGTTATATCGGGATTGACATTTAGGAATTGTGGCGTTATTATATGGTGAGAAGATCAATACTTACTGACCACATGAGGTTAACATATAATTGTATTCGAAAAGGAGCTGAACTTGAAATTGTGTATATATTATCGTTAGGTGATAAAATGAAAAGCTAAAAATATCACATATTGATCATTAGGATGATATTTAATGTATCTGTTCAACATGTATTCCATATGTTCGAGGGTTAGTAAATAG